GACCGTCGTCCCTTCCGCAAACAGAACGACTAGCCTACAGCTTTCGATCGTCGGTCGTCGGTTCAAGGCTTCGGAAACAACAACACGATGTAATGGGTCCAACGGCACGCTGCTCCCCTTCCGTACCCATGCAGGAAAAGCGATTTCGTTTACAAACTTCACAAAAAAATACTTCAAGTGACACAAAGAGCATGATAAACGCTCCTTCGGCATTCGTTTTCGCCTCAACCGTAGCCTTCTGGCAACAAGAGTACCTTCTTGCAACAAGAGTAATACGTGAGACAGACCTCAACCAACTGCCTTCAAAAAACCGCATTGAACAACCTCGCCATGGAAAAAACTCGCACTTCCTGACACAGGTGGTTATCCTTCAAGACGGCTGTGCGCCGAGGTTAAAACCCGCAACCTATTGATAACCATGTCCGTTTGACCTAGCCGATGATAACGTTGTTGCGTTTTCATCGGTTTTTGATGCGGTGCTGTTCAACCATTTCTACTTGACGAGCTGCGGTTGGTTATGGTGTCTTCAAGTGGGCTGGTCCCAGGACACATTCTTGGTCGAAATGTTCACCCAGAACCTGCGTGTGAATGTTTGTTTTCCGTCAGATGCGAGACACGTGCACAGATTTTGAGAGGCGAGACAAAGAAAGGTGTATGAAGGTGGGCGAGACGCAGGCGGCAAGTTTTAGTATGTACTACAAGATAGAAACGAAATAGTAAGTCGACACGATCCCAGCTTGGGGAAAACCAGATAGATCGGGTGAGCGGTAGACGTCCCTCGTCAATATGCGGAGCGTTTGGGGAATACGTTCTCCGCAAAGCTTAATCAACGATGGCCGCGCCCTTCGACAAACGAGAAAACCTGATGGTTTATCTGCAGAACTTTATCGAGCAGGGCATTGAAGGCTAACAAGTAGTGTATCAACATCAGATACATAGTCCTGTATCATGCACAGCATACGACATACAATATATCTATCTGCTCAAGCTGTTCTAGCTGTGTTCAGGAGACGTACCGCCAACACTACCCGCAACCAACCGAAGGACACCATGCTCTTCCCAAACTCACTTGTCCCCCATAGGAGTAGTCCTGACCTCCCACCCTGGCGGTGGCGGCAGATCGTCGTCAACAGAGGCCGCCGTTGATCCCGACCCAACCTCCAGGTCCCGATCGACGTTGGATACCTGTGGCTCGGGGGACTGCAAGAGCGACGACTCCAAAAAAGCCAACGACGGAGACTGTCGAGGATCCCGCGGGGTATTGGCAGTGTTGCCGACGAACTGCTCGTCATACTCAAGATCTTTGGGAGAGAAAGCCGCCTTGGTGGCCATCCACTTGTGGCGCCCGTCCCACCCTTCGGCAGTGGAGGCGGTGCCCGCGGAAGAAGGGAGAGAGACTAGGTCGGGCGAAGAAAGAGGCAGCATGTCACCCAAGTCAGAAGGGTTGGCGTGGTGCCCGTTCCTGCTACTGGCTGCCGTTGGCGAGGGGGAGAAGGAGGAGGGTGAGCTATTCTGCGAATTTCTGCTCTTGAAAATGGGCGCCGGGCTCGCGGCGGACGCGGCGGCGGAAGCAACCTGAGCCTTGTAGTCCTCCTTCTTCCTGATCATGGCCAGTCGTGCCTCCATCTCGGCCATCTCCGCGCGGTCGTTCTTCCACATCTCTACCGCCTCGCTTAGCTCGCGGTCGGAGACGTAGGTCTTGTACAAGATGATGGTCCCGCCCCCGAAGAAAAGCAAGATGGACAGCCCGTTCGCGAAGAAGCCGTATCGGGGGCTAGTCTGGGGCTCCGTGCACGACACACTCTCGCCCCAACCGCTTATGGTATCCTTGGGTGGTGTGGACAAAGTTGGTGTGAGGGAATATGTACAGCGTTGTAGAAGGGAGTTGAGCGCGGGAAGGGAGACAGTGACGAGTGGAAGGAAGTGGTGGGACGGTTCCATTTGTGGTACTGTCTTATGGGCTTTCGACGGGCGGTCGCGAGGATGCTGCGTGTTGTGTCATTGTTCAGAACCAAACACCGATACTTCTAGCCTACGAGACACACGCTGTTTGAGGTGGAGCAAAGCCTTTGGTGGCGATAACAAACACCCGGTGTTCAACGCTGTGGTAGATCCTTGGTGGCGACCCACACGGCACGAATGCTCTGAAATAGGTCTATCAGCGCCGAATCTTGGCAACTTAGTTCCTGGTAGGATCGCGAAGTCTATGTTGGTGATATTTACAGTATTCACAGCGCTTGCTTGTGTGAGTTTTTTTTCGGCGTTCTTCCGTGACGACGAGATTCATCCCTGCTCATACGCCACATGATCAGCTTGTGATGCGGAAGCACTGGGTGTAGTACATAGTTGGAGCAATGTTCATGCTCGCACAGAAACGAATCTAGAACATCAACAATAATTCGACGACAATAACACGACAATAACAGCACCTGTAGCCCGTCCGTGAAGTCCTCCATGATAACGACGTAGAACCCAATACACCCCACCCCGAAGCACCAAAGGCCGGCAAGGATATAACTCGCCGCCATCACGAACATCCACCGGTGACAGTCCCGGGCAAGAACAAGGGGGTGATCGCGCATGGTGGGCTTCGTCTGCTGGCCCTCCTTTGGCCCCAACTTCCCCTCATGGGTCGGTGCTTGTCGAGCGCAGCAGAAGTTGAAGTAACTCAGCCACAACGCGGACGAAGAGAAGAAGAAGAACACGCACGCGATGATGATGACCAAGCCATGCATGCCGCCCGCCAGGATGCCCACGACGGCGGTGCTCTCGCTGAGCTCCGAAAGGAGCCCCAGCTTGTCAACCTTGCCATACTGTTGCCAGCCGATGTGAGTGTCGAACTCGACAAACTGGACGTCCTCGGCGTCCGAAAGAGACGTCCACCTCCCCCAGCAGTCGGTTTTCCACGAGAGCTGTGGTCGGGGTTGGAGTGAGAAGGAGGGCAGAGGACGAGAGGAGGACGGGAACACAAGCGTTTGAAATGTGGAAGAACCCCGGGGCACATGGGCAGGGAAAAAAATTGCAGCGACTTACCGTGGGAAAGCAGAACCTATTTTACAGCTGGTAGACTGTCTGTTTAATGTGGGTGGTAAGTTTTTGGTGGTTTACTGTTTTGCGGTCTCAAAGTGCCAGTCGCGTGCACCCAACATAAATTTGACAGCAGCCCTATTGTCTATCTAGACTAGAGCTTCCTGACTTGTAGAGGCCAAGCCGTCCTGCTTATGTCCATCCTTGAGACCATTAATTTGCTCACCTGGTCTTCATCGTGTGAAGCAATAAACACTATGCTGCAGCAAGCACTCGCGATCTCTAGCATGACCGTGTACCACAGGAAAGCATCCCCCGTCGTGTCCCCGACTCTCATCCATTCCGCGGGACTCCTGTTCTCGTTCAGCTGCGGAGGAGAGACAGCAATGTTGCGGAAGAAAACACAGACGGGATCGGTATTGTGCGACTGTTGAGCTGTGTCGCTGATGTATTTAACCAGCTCCTAGTTACCAGTAGAGTAATGTTATGTGGAATTTTGAGCTTGTCCTACAGCAAAAGTCGAGAGGAAGATCTTGGAACGCGACGGCACTCAAAGAGAGCGAAAGCACCAAATCAACAGATTGGTCTCGTACACTTGGTGCAAAATCAGTGCGTCAAAAAACATTCGTGTGAAGACGGGTCTGCGTTGAGGAGGCAGAGGACTACACTGCAGTCATGACGGGAGCGAAAACACTCCTTCGTGCTCCGAAAAAGGGTGGTCTGGTAGACCGAAGTCTACTGTACAGCAGTAGTAGAATGAGCGTATCTGTTGCTGCCGGGGGTCATCACCGCACTAATACGACGAAAACATGGTTCAAGGTGACCAATGATACTTTTGGGTTAACCAACCATCTGATGATTTTCAATCTTGTAGTAGATGTTCGGTCGAAACAGTTGTCATCAATCAGTTTCGGCTGAACTGTCACCTCAAACTCGTCGTTCACTGCCTTTCCTGGCATCGCTTCCACCGTTGTTGGAGCTGGTGTCCCCCGAGCGGCTTCGAGATCATGGTCTTCTTTGAAATGAACCCCAGAGCGAAGAGGTGAAGGCGCAGCCTTGCTCTTGAATAGTGCAACCCCCTTGTTTTCGTTCTGCTTGCCCCGACCGAGGCTCAGCCTGTCACTTCCTTGCTCGCTCACAGGAGGACTGTTGAAACTAATCTGTGGGCGCACTGCGACGCCGGGCGCTGCCGCACTGGTTTCATTGCTGTGACTTCGTGCTCCTGATTCTGGCGCAGCGCCGACTTGAGCGGTTGTTGTCTCTTTGTCAGGGAAAAGGGACCAATCTCCACCGGCATCCGCCGTACTCATCTCGAAGTAGACGGCACAGTTTAGGGTTTACGATTTGTTTTGACGTGGAACTTTGACGTTTGAGGCTTGACGCCAGTCCGAAGTCACGGTTGAGATTTTGACGCAAAATAAATGCGCCGCTTGTGCCCGTTGACTCTAGGAACCACGAAACAATAAAATCGAGACTGCTTGTCGCCGGGCAAGCTGCTGGCAGCACCAAGCGCCCCAGCGCAAACCCCAACCCCGTGAGGCGACGGGGTTGGGTGAGATGCACCAAGTTGACCGGCCAAGTCCGTGTACCCTCTCTTATGCCTCTCTCTCTGCTCCCTTCGGGGGCAGGGCAACCCTGATCACTGCAGGCAAGGTGCTGCTGCTGTGCTAGCACACACACGCCTCTGCCAACGATCGAACGCGCGCGTCGAACACGCGACGGGCAAAGCTGCTGGCAGCACCAAGCGCCCCAGCGCAAACCCCAACCCCGCGAGGCGACGGGGTTGGGTGAGAGGCACTTGACCGGCCAAGCCCGTGTACCATCCCTTGTGCCTCTCTCTCTGCCCCCTTCGGGGGCAGGACACCCCTGATCACTGTAGGTGCTGCTGCTGTGTAGTATTTGGTACACACACGCCTCTGCCTCCATCGACACGAATGCGCGCGCCGAACACGCGACTCCGGCCACGCGATGCCGCGCGAACTCGCCAAGACGTGTGTCCAAGTCCGTGTAGGATGTTTCAGTAGGGGTGGTGGATGCGTTTGCTGCTGGCGTCGCTCCTTTTCGGTGACGGTAGCTGGGAGAACATGTGTTTGTGTGCCACCTACCTGGAGAGTTGCCGCCAGTCTTTTCATCATGTCCTTTTTGTTTGACACGGCCTGAAAATATTTCGTCGTGAGAATATTGTCTCCAGAAACAAACGCGGCGGAACCTTCTGGTGTCAATATTTCCCGAGGTGTCCATCTTTCACCTCAAATATCAAAATTATAACCGATGGACGTAAACCCAACAGACTAATAATAGTAGCGACGTTGTTCGAGCTGACCCTTCCTGTTGCTGCAGATGTGTGCCCACAATGGCCGCCGCACATGGAACCACCACAAATACAAGCGGACAGGATTCCCACTTTCATCACCGTGTTCGTATGACGCCCCCGCCTTGCTCTAGTGAAGCAAGCCACGCCCTTGTCTTGAGCCGTGGAGTGCTAGAGACCAAAGCAGGATAGCACGGCAAAATCGACGCAAAGTGCGGCGAAACTGGTCACCGTTCGGTCAATGGTGAACCGGTAATTTGCTCCACGATCCACGATTCGCATTCATGCCAGTGCATACATACTGCTGTACGACGCCATGCATCATGTTGTACATGCGTACACAATACCGACACGCCATTAGTCTAGTCTACAGTATTTCCTCAGAGGCCTCTCGTGTTTTTCAGAACATCAATATACTAATAGTTCAGACTATATTGGGTTCACTGCTGTAGGGGGCAGTCTACTATCTGCTGTTGTTTGTTCAATTTTTGACCTGTGTCGGACTGCTGTATAAAGCCGACGCATCCATATACATATGCATCCGACGCCTTTTCGTTCTTTGTTCTCTCACACGTATGATGCATGATGACTGCCCGACTGGCGGATATCCAAATCGCCAAAGCACGCAATCCCCCATCAATGAACCGACATCAATCGTGCCGCCTTCATAAGTCAATTACCGCATCACTGCTCTTACTTCACTGTGGCACGGGTAGTACTCTCTGCTGCTGTGTTGAAATATGTCGGACTGCAAGCCCATGTACTTTCGATGTGTATTTCATCACTCTGTTTTCGCACGTTGTGTAGGCGATGGCTGAAGAAGGATTCCGAAAAATGGCATCGCAACAATTCTGAATTAGTTCCCATCATCGAACCGACAGCTGTTGCCCCGCATTCAATCGTTCACCACGGCTCACACAACCGCACGCCCCACCTTTCACAATCATCACTTGCCCCCCGTGGTTGAAAGAATACTCAACGCTTAAAAACATCAACAAGATGAGATCGTCCGCCTTACTCCTGCTCCTGCTCTGGGCCCCTCCAAGCAGGGTAAACTCACAAGCAACTGACGCGACCACGACGACAACGACGACTGCGTGCGAGGGTACGTCTGAGGTGCACCACGCCGAGTTGTGTTGAGGGTCAGATTTACCCTCGTCTTCAAGCATTCAAGCAATGCTGCAAGAAAGAAGAAATTTCTTTTTTTTTGTCTCTACGTAGGACACCGATTCGTGTTTGATGTGCTGGCCGACGTCAGGAAGTACGCACGTTCATCACTTCGTTGCTGCGAAGGGTGCGTGGGTACATTTGGAACTGTAGAAGCGAGAGGGATCGCATGGCTCGGCGAGCAACTTTCCAGCGTTGGGGTTATATTCTTGGCGTCATTTTCATGAAATGGTGCGAACGGGCGTATGTACCTGGAGACAAATTGACAAATTAAGGCGATTAGTTTCCCCGAGTGGAGAACCGAGCATGACTGGCATTCGTATCACCGCGCCAAACACGAACGAGCAGCAATCTGCCAAGTGTATCAATATTTTCACATCACCACGACCACCCACTACCACGCCAACACCCACAACCCGCCCTGACTCTGCCCTCTTACCAAACTACGACTTTTCATGCAACCTCTGATTCTTGGTGCAAAAGTACCAGAACCGTCCCAGGTTGCGACGTGCAACGGTATCCAAGGCACAGGCAAGAATGCCGACATCTGCTGCGCGAGTGAATGCGTGTGCACGTGTGGGGGTACGTCTGCAGAGAACATCGGCAAGGAGTGCTTCTTGACTGAGATTAGGGCGACTCCTCCCGACTGGTGCACCGGGGAAGAGGATGCGAGCGAGGCGTGCGCCCTCCCGCCAACAGGTATCAGAACGATCACACACGCTGGTTTCACGGATCGTCCGCTAGAACTCAATCGATTTTCGCGAGAATTCTAGGTTGGCTAGGACTACAAGGCGGGAAGACTGCGAGGTATAGAGCACATAGAGTTGGATACGAGCTCAGCTTTGGGGCAATCAGCTTCAAAGCACCGGGGGTAGTGATGAACCGACTTGCGGCGAGAGTACCGCAGGGTTTTTGATCGTTGGACTGCTCGCTGCATATTATCAGCAACAACTCCCATGTGATGATCTGAAGCATGCGGTCTAATGCCGGTCACCAGTACGCTGCCAAAGGGAACAAACAGATGGCACCTCGCCACAACCTGCCGCAAAACACCTACAACGCAGACGTTCCCCCCCCTCCCGTCTGCCATAAGCACCACGATAACAGACACCCTATGAATGAAACACCGCGATGATACATGAGCGTTCACGCGCATCTATACACCCTACTGTCGTGCATACCACACCCGACAGAGTTATAAAGCCGACAGGAACAACTCGTTCTTGGCGACACTACGAACGCCGCGTCATGGGCTACAGCATGACAATTGGAACAGTAGCTCACGCTCGATCCCCCCCCCCGAAAACAATTTTGAGCATCCCGCAGACCCTGTCGATGCCACACCCTGTGGAGTGACCGATGGCGTTCTCAGCGACGATGGCTTCTTGTGCTGTCCCGTCGGCTGCGGTACATGCGGCGGTCTCACGTGCAGTTCAGTCCCTATGTCCTGGGTCATGCCGGGTGACACCCCGCTGTCTGTGGATCCCAGCGTTCCGGATGGGGCTACGTCTGCTGGTGAGAACAAAAAAAGTTCGGTCCGAATGTCGAGGCTCTGAAATGAAGCTGGTGGCTTCTGTACTCCGTAGGCGCGCTCACCCTCTAGTGTTCATACTCATTCCTGTTCTACTTCGATGCCATATCGGGCAAGACCTCAGGCATGGTCTAACTACAAGTCTGACGGTCCTTTTTGTTCTATTCCCCGTCGCGGGCGTTTCGTGTCATTCCCCACTTGACGTTCTTATCACCTAAATCGCAAAATACTGTCGTGCCATGTTATGTCCAATATCGAACTTATTACACATCGCAATGAGATACCGACGTCGAAACCAGATTACTGCTGCTACGACATCTTCGAGACCACGGAAACAGTATGCGGAGCGGGGGTCGAAGCTCCGTGCCGCATGCCCCAGGGTAAGCAACAACAACAACGTCGACCTTCTCGGTGTCAGTTCTGTCTCGCTTTGCCTGCCCTAGCAAGAACGAACAAAGGATCGCTCGGGGTGTGGTGGCATGGATGGGATGAGGATTGCTTATTGTTTCGTTTCTGTGGTTAGACGGACGAGGCAAAATGTCGCACCAGAGATAACTCTCCTCTACTTACGTCCCAACGATCTACCGATTGCTTCCAACTTCCCACTCTGCCACAGCTATGTTTAGATAGATACTGTTGTCGAACAGTGGTGGTAGAAGAGGCTTGATTCTAAATCAACATTGTACTATCGTTCCGCAAACGCAAACCGTACATTACTGGTGCCTCACAGAAGGTATGCAAAGCCAACAAAGAGGCAGGACAAACGTGCTCTTTCGTGGTTTCGGACGACACCCCTAGGGTTTAGAATACGCTCGCTCTATAGTTGTCCCAGCTAAGACCGCCTCCTGCAACCCCTCCCGCGCCACCGCATGTTTCTCCCCCTGCAATCACTTCCAGAGTTCGAGACAAAAGTGGACACTTGCGGTGTGGATGGCATCGAGGGCCTTGCTGGACCCGCGAACACGTGCTGCCCCCTTGGCTGCGCAAGTGAGTTACACCGTGTCGCGCAGTGTTTCCCGGCGCCTGGAGAATGCCGCAAAGACGACGCGTGTAGTTCATTATACAACGATGGCTCATGTTATAACAGCAGTGGAGTGTGTTGGTTGTAGCCAAGACTATCAACATGAACACACATCCTCAGAGACGGCAGAGCGATGTGCGGTGTGCTGTTCATTTAGGAGTTTACTCCCCCCATCAGCTTCTCCGACGTCCTGTCCTATTTTCGTTCCGTCGTTTTCCCGTATTTTTCCTCACTGCTGTCTCGTTTCCTTCCGGTTCGTCCCGAAAATACAACAACAGATTGCGTAGGGATAGGGTGCGGCGATCAGCACATCTCATACGTGTTCCCTGGTGAACTTCCGTGGAGTACTACCGCTCCGGAGGGTTTGACAACCCAGGTATTGCTCCCGTGATTAAACTGTAGTGTATTTTCTTGTAGCCCTATCTGCGCGTAAAAGTCCAACCAAGGAGATCTCGTGCCGCAGTACCACGTCCTAAAATTCTCGTATGCCAATATTTCCGAACGTTCAACGGTTGGAGCCTTTCTTTCATTGGGAGATCATTTTACTGTTTAACTTCGTCAGCCATTGGAACATCCCAACACTAAAATGGACGTTTCACATCATATTTTTACTTTCATGCGCGTGTCAAACATCCTCACAGTAGTTTGAGCTGCTGTGTGTTATTATGTCTTGCTATTCTTGCCGATATCGTCGAGATCGCGCCATGAGATAGTTGGATTCTACCATTCTCGACTGGGCCTCTGTTCTTCTTTTACTACGATTTTTCGTACGTTCCTACGTATTCCGATGTGGAACATAAGACCTTTCAACATCTCTCCGCCCGGCCTACAACAACGTAACCCAGTTTATTCGTTCAATTCTACTTGGTTTTCTGCTGCTGCTTGCAACGACAAGGATTTCTGCTGCCAATCTGCCTTCAGAGACGTTGGGGAATGCGGCGTGGATGGTGCCGAGCCTCCGTGCATGATTCCTGAGGGTACGTTTCCTCTTTTGTAGTTTTCACACCGTCGTCTTTCTGGTTGCTGTCGAAGTTTTTCTTTTGTAGTGTTGTTTCCCTGTTGTCTTCCTTTCGTTCATCTTAATCGCCCCAAAAAACAATCCATTGCGTAGCCTCCTGTTGCGCTTGCTGGATACTCCTGGTCTGACGAAGTAAGTTGTGAGACCTACGCCGTAACCTTTTGCCGTTCATGGTTGCGACAAAGGACATCGTGGTGTTTCGGACGTCGATTGTTGAAAAAGCAGCAAACCGAACCACCACAGTTACTTTGGATGCGACCAGAGGCCTGTTGAATATCTAGCAGAGCAAAAAGCTGTTTGGTGTTACTTGCTCCATTGATTGTGGTACTCTGTCGAACTAATCCGGACTGTAGTTCTTTACAGTGGCACAGGACACCTCTCTGACTGCACGTACGGCCATATATCGAACGCCGCCAATCTCCCGCGGGAAGATCTGGGCACACACCGTGGAGAATATTGCTGGTATAAAATCGTCTGGAACTATGCTTGAGGTGCCCTTACCCCCCCCTACCCAGGAAAAAGCGCTCAGGTCATGTCCCAATTCAGCAACGATGCTCCGATAATCAGTGGTGACGTGAAGAGACCACAATCAATGGCCTACAGATTAAAAGCAACAGTTCCCAACCCCGCACCCCGTTCGTTGCGCCTGCTCTTCGTCGCCACCCCCGCACGCCCTCCTGCGACAGTCGTGGAAACCCTGCCCCCCCGTGACGTTCCCGACGACACCTGCGGCGTTGTCGGCATCCAAGGCATTCGTACCGGCAACAAATGCTGCCCCTTGGCAAGCGCATACCATATCTGTCTGCTCGCGTTGATATCCATTGTGGTTGCTTCGTTCTGCATCGAAGACGTCTGACTCTTCGCTGAAGATGTGCCTCAGAACTAATCGAATCCGCCGAATGTTTTTTGTTATTGCTTCATTGTGCGTTGATAATACCAAATCTACTTTACAAAGCTTTGCAATGGGTTTGATCGCTTGCATGTGCTGTACGAAAATGGCATTTTGGTGGCAGGTTTCGACGAAAACGTCATACGTACCGTTCTATCGTTGTAGTTTCGCTGGTGGCCATAGCTGGTGAGCTAGAGTTTACTTTTTAGCAGTTTTCCATTATTTATCCTTGTGGTACAAGCAGCTAGCAATGACGCTCTGCTCGAAAATTCTCAAGGCATGTGCGCTTACGTGCTTTGAACGTCGCATCTCGCGTGACTCGTACGCGCCACGATTAATTGGTGTTCAACTGTTCCCGGTTCGTATGCATACGTATACCTGAAGGTGACTAAATTGTTTCGAGAACGAGCAAAATGTACGATTGTGTAAACCGTCTGCCTGCTTGTGTTTCTGTGTCACGCCGAAGACCTGCTTCCTTCCTCCATTCGCTGCCTGATTTTTTCCGTTTACTTGCAGGGCTGTGGGCAATGCGGAAGAAGCGGGTAAGACGAGGGTACACGAGTATTGTTTTTTGTTCTCGTTTTCTTGATTTTTTTTTCCAGAACAGGTCGTCTCACGATAGTTGTGGCGGTTCAGCCTGTGATTCATGAGTTGTGAGATTGTAGGAAGACGCAGAGGGATGCCTAGTTTGCGAACCAGCGTTTGTGCATCATTTATTGATTCCCATGGACTACGACTAACGGAGAGATTCTTGAGCTACAGTGCCTCAGAACGCTCTGCAGGACATTGGTCTTGTTGCGCAACATGTAGGAAATGGCTTGGATGAATGCCTGAACCTGTCGGAGAGGACGCTGCGCCTCTCTCCAGAACAGTCGGAGTGGGTGTGCCTCAATACGGCAATTCAAGGAGTTAACATGGAACTGAGCAAAGATCGGAACGTTTCTCAACGTGAATACGACGGTGACAACAGCCATAACAATCCCGCCATTCCTTCGACGGCATTTTGAGGGGTTGGATGTGCACCGTCAAATTAACGGAGGTAGGTCCGCTTCGCCCCCATCACGGCGGGCGAAGGGTATCACCATTGCACTAGAGATTGAATCGACCTCCCTACCTGCCCACGCCTGTCGCTGAAGATGCGGCTCAATCGACATGGGCTACATCACCCCGTACCTCGACCACGAACCTGCCTCCAACGCTACGTCCACGTAAGTGCCGTAGTTCTGGTAGAATGTCATGATTCAACTTGATGAATGTGTTTCCTCTGTCGGCACTGTTCTACTGTACTTGTAATCGTGTGGCCTTGTCGTCACTACGATCCATGGCTTCTGACATTGTTCCTGTCACCGTCCGTCAGCAGCAAGTCGTCCTCGAACGTGCCCCCAGTTGTTTCATCAAGAGCTAAAGTCTAGTCTAGTGGTTGTCGCACGTCGGAGAGTTCTTTCTCGATGCATGCATGCATGGCCACGTATGAATGCGTGGTCTGCCTTACCTCTTGGACGGTGTCGCTCAAAACTCCAAGATCAGATAATGAGATGATCTTGTAAACGCCTTCAAGAAATGGTGCTTTGTGTCCATTCTGCAAGATCCACGATAGGGTTGCATGGGAGTTTCAACGTGTGTATTGGAGGGAGGTATGTATGCATAGCCTACGTTAGTTTGCGACGGCAAGAATGGATGATGATGTGATGCCTCAAGACTGGAACGAATCTACTGCTGTCACCACCGCGTTGCAGGTCCTACTGCTGCACGAGCTCGTTCACCGTCAAGTCTCCTACTTGCGGAGACGGAGTATCCCCCCCGTGCCTAATTGCTGCTGGGGATCAAGGTGAGGGAGAGAAACAAGACGATGACATGTTTGCTGCTGCTGCTGCTGCTGCTGCTGCTGCTAGCCATTGCAGTATGTAGTGAGCCATGGTGCTCACAATCGTACAGTACGTACCCTGTGTTGTAGACTCCGAATTACAAAACATCATGAGTAAATCAACCCATGTTACTCTTTTCTTTTATTATGACGATCGGGTCTTCTCTTGTTCTCTTCCCACCTTCTTCCTTTTTGCGTGTCTTGTTATCCACCGCCGGTGATCTTCATTCGTCCTCATTTCTTTCGTTTTACCCCCTCGCGCCCTGCCGTGTAGACCACTCCTCCCCCCTCGCTCACTGCATCCCTCCCTGTTTGTGTTCTTGGCTCCACCCTTACCCTCCTGATCTGCTACTTCTCTTGACTTCCTACGAGCGCCCTCCCGATGCCGATTGTCCACACCCGCCCCCCACCCACCCGTCGTTGAACATGCTATCACTCCCCACCCCCACCCCAACAGGCACAGGGACAGTCACCGCCACTCTTGCCCCCGAAGTCGCCTCCAGCTTGATTGACAACTGCGGCCTTCCAGACATGCCTGGAATCATGGACACCTCCGGAACCCGTTGCTGCCCGCAGGTGGGTGTGCGTGTCTTTTTTGTTAGCATCGACCGCGCTAACCGGCTGACCGATGAAAAGACGCCGGTCTCAGTACAGTGGTAAACAAAACAAGCTTCTATATGCCACGATCCGGGACCCTGTGCCCGAGCGCCACGGGGCAGGCTACGCTACTCTCCGGATAAAAGACAGATACCGTAGCAACGACAGAAGAACACTGAACGTGTTTCCAATGACTGCTACCACTTTGGATGTGCGTGCGTTTTGCATTTTCATCTTCTTCCGTGTGTTTGTGTCTGGGATACGTTGTTTGGTGGGCCGAGACTCGACTTACCAAAGCTCAATTCGTTGCGATCCCCGACACAAGCACGGTTTGTGTGTGTCCGAATAATGAAACAATCAACCTTGCTCACGAAGAAAACATCTCCCGACCCTACTTATCATGTGCACTTCCCAAACATTCCTGTCGCTGCTCAGAAAGAATGCTCTGCTTGTGTAGTACACTGCCTCCAACTCGCGTGTACCCCACCCCATCCACCTACACCCTTCCAGAAAAGAGAATTACATGAACCAAGCCCGAGCTAAGCCCGTGTGCTCGCTATACGGTTGATAGGGGTGCGGAATGTGCGGTGGTCCTGGGTGCGGGTTAGTCGACATGAATGTCGTGGCTCCTACGGTGGAAGGTGATGTCCCCATCGACGCCAAATCGGGTGACTACTGCTGCACGTCTGGGGTAGACAGTAGAGACGTCACGTGTGGGACTGGAGTGGGTGATGATGAGGGCTACCCTCCTTGCTTCATTCCGGTTGGTGAGTGCTCTGATATATTGCAGGAAATACTGGTATGAATGTGTCGTTATTTCTTGTCGTGGTCGTCGGTGTTTTCGTTAGCGTGTTTCGGCTACTGTCGGAAGAGCAGGGGGTGTTGGCGCTGCTGTTGCTGTTGCTATCCCCGTTGTCCCTGGTTTTGCTGTTGGTGTTGTTGCTATAGACGTATTTATCGGTGTTGACGGGGCCGGGGGCTCTTGCATGTTGTGCGGCCGCGAACTGTTATCCGTCGACGAGATGAGAATACTGTGCTGGTCGTATGCTGTTTAGGTTTTCCCACCTTCTTTCTATTGCGTGTCTTGTTATCCACCGCCGGTGATCTTCATTCGTCCCCATTTCTTTCGTTTAAGCCCCTCGCGCCCTGCCGTGTTGACCACCCCCCCCCTCGCTCGCTGCATCCCTGTTTGTGTTCTTGGCTCCACTCTTACCCTCCTGATCTGCTATTTCTCTTGACTTCCTACTAACGCCCTCCCGATGCCGTTTGTCCACACCCGCCCTCCACCCACCCGTCGTTGAACATGCTATCACCCCCCACCCCCACCCCCACAGGCACAGGGACAGTCACCGCCACCCTTGCCCCCGAAGTCGCCTCCAGCTTGATTGACAACTGCGGCCTTCCAGACATGCCTGGCATCATGGACGCCTCCGGAACCCGTTGCTGCCCGCAGGTGGGTGTGTGGGTGTGCCTGGGATACGTTGTTTGGTGGGCCGAGACTCGACTTACCAAAGCTCAATTCGTTGCGATCCCCGACACAAGCACGGTGTGTGTGTGTCCCAATAATGAAACAATCAACCTTGCCCACGAAGAAAACATCTCCCGACCCTACATATCATGTACAACTTCCCAAACATTCCTGTCGCTGCTCGGAAAGAACGCTCTGCTTGTAGTACACTGCCTCCAACTCGCGTGTACCCCACCCCATCCACCTACACCCTTCCAGAAAAGAGAAATACATGAACCAAGCCCGAGCTAAGCCCGTGTTCTCGCTATACGGTTGGTAGGGGTGCGGAATGTGCGGTGGTCCTGGGTGCGGGTTAGTCGACATGAATGTCGTGGCTCCTACGGTGGAAGGTGATGTCCCCATCGACGCCAAATCGGGTGACTACTGCTGCACGTCTGGGGTAGACAGTAGAGACGTCACGTGTGGGACTGGAACGGGTGATGATGAGGGCTACCCTCCTTGCTTCATTCCGGTTGGTGAGTGCTCTGATATAATGCAGGAAATACTGATATGTCCTTACAGTTCTTGTGGTCGTCGGTGTTTTCGTTAGCGTGTTTGGTTGCTATTGGACAAGGAATGAGTGTTTGGCCTCTCTGTTGCTGGTTCTGCTGTTTCTAGTGTTTTTGCTGTCGGTCGTGTTGATGGGACCCCGGGAAGGGGCGCTTGAAGTGGTGTGGACATGAATTAACCCGTCGACGGGATGTTAATACCGTTGTTGTTGTGGAAGGCAGGCTTTCAGCTTTGGCGCGTTTTGTCTCCTGTTCAGATACCAAGAACCCCCCGCCCTCCCCCCACCATACCGTGTAGATCTCGCTGAAGACACCTGCTACGTGGAAGGCGTAGAAGGGGTCTCCGATGATGGTGTGTACTGCTGTCCCCTGGGATGTGGCCAATGCGGAGGGGTGGGATGCGGTGCAATTCCAGTGGTCAATATCTTCCCCGATGGAAGGGAGCTGCCGGAAGACGCCACCGCGTCGTCGTACTGTTGCCTGAGAGCCTTCGTGGAAATTGAAGTGGTGTGTGGCGATCCGGGGGTCGAGCCTCCGTGCGTGATCCCCGAAGGTGGGTTTTTTAGCTATCTAGCTGTGGCTGAATATTGTCCGAAAAAACGCGGAGGCAAGCAATGGTTTGAAGACACCTATCTATACACAGCGGGTTACACGTGGCTCGATTTCCTTTCTTCGTGAGGAGCCCTCCGGTATTCCAAGAAGATGCACACTTTACTCTTGCATAACAGTCGTTGTCACAAGTTTTAATGTGTTGTGTTCATCCCTTTGAGTAAACCTGAAAACATTTTCATGCATGCGCGCTCTGACTTGCATGGTTCAGCATCTTCGGGTAGATCCACCAACCCACATGGTATCTAGACCCTCTTCCGAATTCACGATCCATTAACCTACATGTACTCTCACCATACCTGTTTTTCAACTGTACCTTTTTGCGATAGCATTCATGTGCCTTATGGTGTCTCAGCAAAACACAACGAACGTCTTACGGGCCACTTGCCGAACATATCTGATTCGATTCCTCGTTCTTGAAGAGGGCCTGTTGTCTTCTTTACAGATAATGTTTTTCTTCCCACCTTGCACCTTTTCTGGACGTCGGTTCTTGCGCCTTTCGGTACGATTCTGGACGGACCAGCCGGGGTCAGAGGAGGGTCACCACACAGGACTTGATTCTCCCCCTTCGTTCTGTGGTGCTTGCCTTTATATTTATCGCGAGAAGGCCCGACGCCCAATCGTCAGCAGGTTGCGAGTCTGCGCCATCACCAAAACCAGAGCAAGTTTGATTGGGAACCTAGTTGGGCCCCAAAACTCGGAAGCGGTAGACTTCCAGCAGCTTTATGACTCTTTCATTTTTGTTCCCACCGTTCTTAACCTTCCTACCAATCGATGATATCCGCCGGACGGTGAACGAGATTAGGAACGTCGCGCCCACCAGCCGCTGTCCCTGTCGATACTGGTGATGGAAGCGAAGGCGGAAGCGGCGGTGGCAATGACACTGACGTCACCGATGGCCCCGACCGTGTAGTCGGAGGCGGATCTACTCCCTCCCCATCCGCCATGGAAACGATGGGCTGCAAGACCATCTCTGTCATTGTCGACGAACAGCAGCAGTTCGACGGCATTTATCACATGATGGTGCGTAGTTGTACGAGATATTTATTGATAGGTACTAATTAAGCATGCAACAAGCTCACCACCAAAACGAAACCCAAGATTGGCTCATGGGAGTAAATTACAGATGTTTTCGGTTGCAGTGATCCCCCAAACCTGTCCTGCAAGACATGTTTACACCAAGAAAAAACAACGCTTGACTGACGCACTCTTGGGAGAAAAGATCTTCTCTCTTCGAAACAAGTCCGTGTGTGTGTGGTACATGTTTGTGGCACTTCTCATGATTGTTCACAACACGTTACCCCAAGACCGTGGCAATACGACGAAGAGCTTCTTCAACATTCCCTCCGTTTCAAATGAAGATGCGTACCCAACGCTTGACTGACGCACTCTTGGGAGAAAAAGTCTTCTCTCTTCGGAACAAGTCCGTGTGTGTGTGGTACATGTTTGTGGCGCTTCTCCTGGTTGTTCATAACACGTTACCCCAAGACCGTGGCAATACGACGAAGAACTTCTTCAACATTCCCTTCGTTTCAAATGAAGATGCGTACCCTTCTTTTCTGTTGTTTCAGGCCGGTATGAACGAGACACTCTTCCTCAAGAATGACAGCAGCGCCTTCATGAGCCACGTGCCCTATGAAGGAGCGGTGACAAACACGACGTCGACGACCACGACCGCCCTGAATGCCACCTCTGAATGTGAGTTTTGGCGCGATGAACTATTACCACACTTGACTGGTAAAAGTTGGAACTCTGACCGTACATGGTATTATAGTACTACGGTGTGCCCTTCTCTCTCTACATAGTTACTTTATCGTGTGTTGATCAAATCATGATTTAGGAAATAGTCCTTCAAGTGCTCCTAACCCCTCACTACCGCCCTTCTCGCCCCGCCAATGCCTATCAAAAACCAAGGCGGTTACTGGATCCTGGCAGAAGCGACGGGTGGCAACTATTCATTGACTGTACAAGACTGCGCCACCAACCCGGACGACATTGACACGGTCATATGGTGGATGGTGGAAGACACCACCGAGGCTACACCCGAACTCGCCGTGGAGGTGGGAAGGATACTGTCGTGGTCATTGTTGCGATTGTTGTTGCTGTGTTGTTGTTGATGATGATGAATAACGGTGATGGTGATGGTCATGTACATAGTTGACGATGTCGTCGTGGTCGTCGTTCCCCTTGCTGTTGCTGCCGCGCTTGGGTAGTTAGTGTGAAACCAGAGGTGTGCTATTAATTGTCGTTCGGAAATGTGCCAAGATACCACCACCACCACCATCATCACCACCGCCACCACCACCACAATGCGAAGTAGTTCTCATTCTTCACTAACATCGTCACTTTTCCAGATGCTGTATTCTAGTCTCTTCCATAGTAGTCGCAAAAGTGCAAGAGTTGCACGTTTAAAACCTCTCGTTATCCATTCTCAGAGCCCGCCCCTCTCTCTATGCCCGTCCCCTCCCCAACAGGTCATGGTGGAATGCGTGGATATGCCTTCCACGCCTTCCCCCGCAAGCACCGGTTCGGGAGGTCCTCTACCGGACGGAGAAGAAGGAGACGGTGTCGGAGTCAGAGATGGCGACGGAGAGGGAGGTGGCAACGGCGACGGAGGGGACGGCTCCCCCACCCCGGCTCCTGCTGACGACACGACCGGCGGCATTCAAGACAGGAGCGTTGACCCGGGCGACGCGGACAACACGGAGGACGACGCTCCGTCCTCTAGCAGCAAGGGCGGCCTTAGCACCGGCGAGGCTGTCGGGGTTGGGGTCGCCTGTAGTGTTGTGGCGGTTGTGGGTGCGGTGGGTCTCACCCGTTGGGCCAAGGGTGGCGGGTAAGGAACGGTTGCTTACGAACAGTGCGAAGAAGAATGGGATGAAGTCGCAGAGGCAACGAGTGGATGAACAAGGCATCGTGTTTGCTGCTGCTGCTCTTGGTGGTGGTAGTGGTGGTGATGGTGGTGTTATTGTTGTTGATGTTGTTGATGATGTTGTTGTTATTGCTGCTGCTGGTGTGACTGTGCAGAGCGGTCGCAAAAGTCTCGTTGGTTTATGGGTTGATTTAGTTAAGCAAGCAATGTTCGCCGGCAAAGGGTCGGAGATCATGAGAATTGAGACATAGCACGAGAGGTGTAGACGGAGGTACGATGCTACGGTATGTATATATGTTTCTTTCTTCCTGCGTTTGCCTTATTCTTGATGTTTACTTGGAGGGGGGGGGAAAGATACACTAGAATCAGTAAGTCGGTCAGGAAGCGACAGGAAGCGACAGCAGATGCAACCATTCTATGAATGAATATGCGACAGTTAGGTGGCAACGTGAAAAAAGGACAATCAGGATAGACCGAAGGTTGGACGGCCGAAAGCTCGGGCCGGGGGAGGGGGGGAGGGTCCCTATGTGGAGTGAGAGAAGAAGTTAGACATTTTAGGTTGGATGAGTTGGATATACCGTAGTGATATCAGTTTGCGCCGGCTGGTTCCTCCATGGAACGTATTCCGCGCGAGGATGAGAAGGGCGTTGGCAAAGTAAAAATGCGGCGATCCGCCTAGCTTGGCGGTCAGTGCATTCAAATTTGCCTTCAGAATGTACCTCCTCTCTAACTCGTTCGTTCTACCTTGTTCGTTGAGGTGTTGTACGTTTCATTCCGCTTGATCGAATCAACGAAGAATCACGTTGTTTGGCCGGAAGATGAGAGAAATAAAAAATCTGCTCGGGAAGGTGCCTTAGTATTATGCTGAATGAATAACCTCCACGGATTCGGATGATGTGTGTACCCTCGACTTTTTTTCTAACATAGAAATAAACTATTTATTGTCTGAGTTCTGCTCCCGTGCAAAAGTACACGAAACGTAACCTATCTCGGAGGCGTGCGATCCAGGAGGGCAGGGCGGCAATGGGTAGCGGACGAAACGATCTATCCCGCCCTGCCTCTCTAGTTTGTGGCTTAGCGTGATTGGGTATGGGTCTCCCCTTCCATATGTCGCTCGATTCGGGCTTTGATCAGGCGAGCACACACGCACGCATTTCGATGGATTTCAACGCCACAGAAAACGGCTCACCATAATGCCTTCTGATCGGCGGCACCACAATCAACTTGGGCCTATGACTGCAACTATAACTATTTATGTATCATCCACTTTTGATCGGCCGCCGATTACTATTATTATCCTCCATCCCTGTCGGTCTTGAATGTTTTTCTAGAGAGTCCGATGTATTTATAGTGAAGAACCACCACTGTAAGCTTGTCTATTATGAAACGTCACAAGTGGGGAGTTGACGATTGGCACCGGCCGGCAGTACCCCCTGTTCGTTGCTTATTTCGTATTTACGAAGTAGACTATGCTAGGTTTTTTCGTGGCAATCAACTTTTTTTTGTTGTTGATGTTGACTTTTTGGTTTTTATCGGTTGTATGAATGCGTCCGTCACGTGTGTGTGCGTGTGTCTACGATGTGAGTGCGAGGGAGATAGATATAGATCCATCGACCCCCCGCCGTCGCACGTAAGGCAGAGGAAGTTCAAAGCTGGAGACAGGCATCGCCAACGCATTCATGTAGTAGTAGGCTGGTCCAGTTTGTTTGGTCCGAAAAATCGTCGGAAAACACGCAGCCTGTTGTGGTACACATGATGAGGCGTTTATTGCTACGCGATTGGCTTGCCAACGCAATATAGACCATACGCTTCTGTTGGGCGCCTCGTTAATCTTGTATATATAACTTACCCCCGCCAACCGTGTCGCAAGTGGGGTCCTCTGACTCGAAACTCGTTAGACTACGTGTCCGTCGGATTTTCGTCGATGGCAAAGAATCGTACTTCATTTTCCTCGAACGCACCCACCCACTTCTAGCCGCCAGCGGCAGCGGCCTCGACAATAACAACAGCAACACCGCCCACAAAATACGCACAAAGAACAAATGATGAGGAGTGAATAAGTGTCGAACCAGATCAAGCACGCACAAACAACCAGACAGTCAGCGCGCACCTTGTCCTAAAGTAAGTCTACACAACAAACTATAACAAAAAACACGTCCCTCCCTCTCTCCCACCCCGCTCTTCGCAAGAAACAACCTTCGTCCTCGCGGAAACAAAAGATGAACTGGCTTTCGTCTGCACCCCCCCCGCCCTCCCCAATGATCAAGCGCGTGTATTCCGCGTGTATACCACCAGTTTGTCCCATCATCAGCCCAGCTCTAGCCATGATGTCGCTGGTTCGTTCCGTGTCGCGCATCACCAGTTAAAGCACGTTTCACGATTAAGACACAGAACGCTCAATCAAGGCCCAAGCCGGGACTTCAATAGGTCAACACAATATTATCCGCCGCAGGTCCAACATAACAATTATTCCATGCACATACATGCTGTTCATTAATAATCTGCACCCACAACTCAAGGGAATACGACTTGTCTATTCCTCAAGTATGCTTTAAAACCGGAAACCCATGACTGACTGCCCTAAACACTGCAGGTTATTTATCACTCCAGGATGGATTGAGTTTTGATCCCACTGCAAGGAAGGCTTCTACACCGACTCAAAAAACTGGATCCTACTGCAACAACACATCATCAGATGCACCCCGTCTCTAGGTCACAAAGACGCATTGAGAGAGGCTTTCTGGCTGAGACATCACTACTACCAACCACAAACAAAAACGGTAGCGGCAGCAGCAACAACGACGACGACGTCGACGACATTGGGGGGGGCGGGGCTTAAGGCGCAACGCCGCGCATGCCACCGGTGCGTACCAGAACAACATCGGCGACCCTGCAACCTTGAAGATTTAGTCTAGATCTAGTAAATAGATAGTACTATTAATGCCTATTGCCGTTTGTCTCTCACCCCCTCTATGTTATTGCTGACAGTAGTGGCTCAACCCGCCTACGGCTCCGCTACACGTACCGTGTAACTCGTTGCACTATGCTGCTACATAGTTTTGCTCAAACTTCCACGTTCGTGCTACAGCGTCATGGTTGTTTCGAGCAAAATCGACCCAACCAAGCGTGTGTGTCTGTATGCACCACGCAGCACAAAAAAGTCATTGCGCGCGAACGCTGTGTCCCCCATAAGCGAAGAAGCCGAAAAAAAATATATGGAAATGGAAAAAAAAAGTGGGTATACCCACGCCATTCTCGGACAAAAGTGGGTACTCGAATATCCGGCGCGCGCGCCCTCCATTGGCGACCCCCAAACAACGACTCAAGTCCCCATTCTGACACCTGGCGACAGAGCCAGGGACCACATACAGCACGGGCATCGTTTTTTTCCCACTTTCAGGCACACCTTTGACCCTAATACCGCCGAGGCGCGCGAGGCCTCACCAGAGTGCCCACTTTTCTGCCCGACATCGCGGTGGGTATACCCAGCTACTTAAGTCGCGAGGGAAGGGATTGCTGTACCCTTCTCGCGATAAAAATATCTCAGGCAGGAACCGCAGGAGGGGGTCCAACCCCCCCCCTCCTATCCATGTGACCCCGGTTGGGTCGTCTAGCTGATAGAAGTGGAGGATAGGGGCCAGAGGGGCAGACGACAGAGTCCAATGATGGGAGAAAAACAAACAAACAAAAAAAAAGCAGCGGCGTCAACTAATTTTTCCAGTACTCACTTGTGTTTATATATTGACCCACTTTTGTCCAAATTGTAGAGTAAGGGAGGGAATTAAGGGCAACCTAAGGCACCCCCCACCTCGGCAGCTCGTTCTCTGGTGTCACGATGAGTTATGAAGAGGTTGAGGTATCGGGTGATAGCTTATATCATAGCCTACAACATAAAAAAGTTGAGATGGCGATGAGACATACCCCTCAAAGTATACCTGATTTTCCAGATAAAAATGCGCGGAGAACGACCGTGCGGGTATTAAGGGCAGGTTCCGGTGATGGTCGATTTGCAAAGGTTCTGAAGCGTACTAAGACGTCAAATTTGGTACACATAATCTTAGTATGACGGGCGTTCGATTAAAAAAAAAATCGGCCCACAACCGGGGACACAATGCCCATGTCCCCGGTTTTTCGCCTCAATTCTGCGGGGCGAAAAATACCCAATTTTGAGGGTAGTGCGGGTTGTGTTGCCTTGAACCAGCTCAACCGTTGAATTTGATGAACTAACGACTAGTACGCATCCTGTTCTGAGTCACAAAAAATAAGAACCCGTTAAACGGATGCCTATGGATGGTGATATGCCTGTCCAAACATGGGCACTTTTGCCCCCTTTTTGGCTTGTACGGCAGTAAATTCCGCCAAAACCGTGCCACATGTTGAAGCAACTATTTTACACCCATATTAACCCCCCGCGTGACGCCGTTTCAGAGGAACGTATTGAAGGTTGCAGAAAACACGTTGGATAAAAAAAAAAAAAAATAGCCCAGGGGACAAAAGTACAGCATCCCCGAGTTTGTCCACAAGTTGTCCGCCAGCCATTCCCGCCTCCCCCTCGACGTGCTGTTTGACAACCACGTTACCTGAAGCACCCTCGTGACCCGTACTGAACACTCAACAGTTCGAAATCAGTTCCACACACAAATTTCAAGCCATTCAGAGCTAACTTTAGCCCGATACCATGTGGTTGTCTGCACAACAATACGACCCCCACCTCCCCGAAGAAACCTAGACATCCACTACAGGTGTCGGCGTGCGGGTTCACTTCGTTTTGTTTCTTCTTCATCTCCGCCAACCACCCGTCACAAGTGAGAAGTCCTCCCGCTAGAATGCCCAAGTTCGCCCGGGTTGGCGGCTTCTTGGATCGCTTGCTGGGCAGGTAGTCGCCGAGAAACACCGTGCTCACGCGGAGTCCCGTGAGGGTGTGGCCTTCCCCCAGGAGCTTGCGGACGGCGCGTTCGCCCAGCAATTCCTCCAGCCGATCGTTGCTCACGGCGATGGGGACGTCTTGCAGGGGAGGGCGGTCGGTTTCCCTCTCCTTCCTCTTGGGTTTCAGCAGCCGACTGAGTGCCCGTTCCTTGTCCACCGGCCAAAGGCCCGCCCCGGCGAAGGAAGCTTTGTTGATGTCCGGCGTAAAGCTCGTGCTCCACGCTTGCCCGATCACGGAGGCCATGTCCCGCTTCCGCGGTAACGCCCCTCCGTGTGTCGCCAAGAAGGCCTGGATCGCCTTGGTCAGCTCATTCTTGAAGCACCCGAAGCCAGCGACGTCCAGGGGCTGGGTGATGTGGGACATGTGGGAGGGCAGCTGGACGAGGTGGATGTTGAGGGACCTGGCCAACTCCACGATTTCCAAACTCACGTGCGACGCGTGCCCATCCAGCATGAGCACATGGAATTTTCCATCGAGCAAGTTGCGCTTGCGCAGCTGCTCGTGAAAGTCTATGATGTACTTGATGAACACGTCACCACACATGAAGGACGACTCCGTGCAGGTGTACGTCGCACCCGGCGGGCCGTCCTGATCCACGATCCAATCTTCGTTGAAACGCTGCCCTTTGAAGATGATGGTAGGGGCCAACACGGCGCCGGCGGCGTTGATGGTGGTGACGATCGTGCAGTTCTCCCGCGAAGTGGAACGCATCTGCGGGACCACCGGCTGCCCCCGTTCCGCATAGACCCGCTGTCCCTGGGCACCTTGAATGGTGCCACCTACAATGATAATTTGTGGTGGAAAGGCGCGCGTGGGGGAATCAAAGCGGATGGAGAGTAAGTAGAGGCAAAACAGCGCTCACACGCACCACCAACGTCCAGCCTACCGTGGATTGGGGGGGCGGGGGAACGGGTAGGGCAGACGCACAGGGTGGAATGTCCTCACATGTGAAATGTTCCCCAG